TCTGTAGAGTGGTGAGTTCCATTCAATTGATTGTTCCACAATGATCCGTAATGTAGCAATTTGGTCAGTACACGATCGATCCTTACGAAATCCAGCCTGTTGATCTCGAAGTTGGGCGTCTACGAAGTCCTTCATTCTGTTTAACAATACTCTGTTGAAGACTTTGCCTGGTATTGAAAGAAGAGTGATGCCTCTGTAGTTTTCACACTTGCTGAGATCGCCTTTCTTTGGTATTTTGATGAGGTATCCTTCTTTCCAATCTGATGGTAGTTGTTCCTCATCCCAAATCTTCTTGAAGAGAATGTGAAATATTTTCGCAGTTGCTTCCACATCTGCTTTCATTGCCTCTGCTGGAATGTTGTCTGGTCCTGCTGCTTTGCCGCTCCTGATTTGTCTGATGGCTATACTGATCTCCTCAATTGTGGGTGCGCCAATATTAATTGGGAGGTCCGTGGATGCTGCTTCGATGTTGGGTGGGTTCAGTGGAGCTGGTCGATTCAATAGTTCCTTAAAGTGCTCCACCCACCTATTTCGCTGTTCGTCAGTGTTGCTGATTATTTTCCCTTCCTTGCTTTTCACTGGTCGTTCTGGTTTACGATAGTTTCCGGCCAGCTTCTTTGTTGTTTCGTACAATTGTCTCATGTTTCCTTCTCTTGCAGCCTTTTCCGCCGTCATTGCTAGATCTTCCACATATTTTCGTTTGTCAGCTCTGATGCTCTTCTTCACTTCCCTGTTTGCTTCTGTATACTCGGCTTGCGCCTTAACTTTCTCTGCTCTTGTTCGGCAGACATTGATTGCTGCCTTCTTGTTCCTCCTTTCTTCAATTTTTGCGAGAGTACCAACAGAGATCCATTCCTTGTGATGGTGCTTCTTGCGACCAAGGACCTCCTGACATGTTGAAGTGATTGCCTCCTTAATCCCTTTCCAATTGTTCTCCAATGTTGCTTCCTCTCCATTGAGTAGATCCTGAAAGGCCTGGAACCTATTGGTGAGGGCTATCTTGAATTCGTTGAGTTTTACGGTATCCCGAAGAAAGGCCGTATTAAACTTCTGTGATGTTGTCTGCCCCGTTGTCCAGTGCTTCTTTAGCTTCAATCTCATTTTGGCGATCAGCAAGTGGTGATCTGAAGCTATATCAGCTCCTCTCTTGGTTCTCACATCCTCCATGGTCCTTCTGAACTTTTTGTTGATACAGATATGATCAATCTGGTTTTGAGTAGTGTGATCCGGTGAAATCCATGTGGCTTTGTGAATGCGTTTGTGCGGTAATATTGTGCCACCGATGACCAGTTTGTTGAAGGCACATAGGTATGCAAATCTCTCACCGTTTTCGTTCCTTTCTCCCAGTCTATGTCGTCCCATGATGTCTTCATATCCAGTGTTGTCCATTCCAACCTTGGCATTCAGGTCTCCCATAAGAATCATCAAATCCTTTGGTGAACATTTATCGACGATTGACTGCAGCCTTTCGTAGAATTGATCTTTAACGTCGTCATTGTAGTCATTGGTAGGTGCATAACATTGGATGACGTTCATTGTAATGTCCTCTTTCTTTGTTTTGAAGGATGCTTTAATGATCCTCGGCCCATGAGATTCCCATCCTATCAGTGCCTTTTGTGCATGTTTGGACAGCATCAGTGCAACTCCTTGTGTATGTGAAGCGTTTTCCTCTTCATGACCAGAGTATAACAGCAGTTCCCCTGAAGCAAGTCTCAGTTGTCCTACCTGTGTCCAATGTGTTTCACTGATGCCGAGCACCTCGAGGTTGTATCTTTTCATTTCTCCCGCAACTTGAAATAGTCTTCCAGTCTCCCACAATGTACGAACGTTCCATGTACCTAAAAAAATGGTTGCTCTGGTTGTGAGAAGAGGCATCGGCCCCGTGACTTCCGAGGGGACTCGGCTTTCATCACGAGACGTCATAATTCTTCTTCCAACTCCCAGGGCAGAGTTAAAATGGTTTGAATTATTTTTTCTGGTTAGCGTTTTTTTGGCAAGTTAGATTTCAACGGAATGGGGCCGCCAACCCCATGTCCAACCCTCCTCCTTTATCCGGGCTTGGGACCGGCAGTAGCCCCTAAGGTTCTACTGGCGGAGTTATATGTTCATGTTGCAAAACATCAATCCATTGTCGCTATTCATGCGTTTCATACAAATTCCATTGTGTTCTCACTCTTCCTTTCTTAATCTTCCCCCATCTTCTGCTGCCAGACATTACGTTGACACTCACGTCATATACTACTTATAAGTAGCTCACACCACAGATCTATCAACTAACAAATAATTTCAGATATTTGTTTTAATCTACGTTGTGAGTACGTACAATAAATAACATGAAATAATATTGAGTTCAAGATGTTCAGATCTCATCATTAGTATAATTTCAGATTTGATATGATGATTTACACTATACATTTTAGTGCAATAGTAATAATGTCATGAAAAAAAACTTTAAGACCAGACGGGGAAGAAACAGTTTATCAGTAAAATGTGTATATCTTATCTTCGAATTTCTATTTCCAAAACAAGCAGATTACAAGCTGCCTTGTTACACATATCTTCTGGTCTTCAAAACACTTTGATAGAGCTGTATATTCAGATCTGACACTCATCTCGTCGGTCGTAACTTCTAGACAACACTCCACTGCCTAATACTCAGGAACCACGTAGATAGTATCCAACACAACAGGACTTAATCCTTATTTCATGTTACTAATCAGTAATTTCTTCATGTAACTGTAAGATTAGTTTTATACCAGTCAACTGAGAATCGTTAATCAAAATTCAACTTAAATTTTCATATTATTTTGAAGTGCAATTATCAGTTGTCATTTGGGATTATGAAATGTCTCATTATAATTCATAATTTTTCGCTAGAATTTTCGTCAGAATTCAGTAACTTTTAATCAGATTTTTGTTCCCTTGTTCACTCAACAGTGGTTCTCTTGTTTTTAGTTCTTGCCCGTTTTCTCTTTTTAATTGTATATATATATATATATATATATATATATATATATATATATATATATATATATATATAGTTAAAATAAGACATCGATCAGTACAATAATTTTTGGACATGTGGTTTACGTAAACTATATGTTTTTCTTTACTTCATTGTTTGTCCTAATTTTCATTTTATGTTTTTACAAATTCTTTTGTTTCAATTGTTTTGTGTTTGGAACAATATCGAGAATATATTTAAAGGTCCGAAGTAATTTTTAGTAATATATGCTGATATGAAGACAAAAAGGTGAAATGAATTAGTCAGTAGGATAATTTGAATCTACAAAGTGACAACAAAAAAACTGCTGTCAACGGTTAGCTTCAAATGGAATTCTAGTAATTCAAAGACAACTAGAGGATTGGCATTCCGATTAGCATCAATTACCTTTCTCAAGTTGTTTACTTGTTAGGATACAACTGGACAATACAATTCGAATTCACAGATCACACAACACTTCTGTCCAACACAACAACAACAGATGCTAGAGAATAAAGTCAGCCTAACATCAGCTGACTCTTCAGTAATAGGACTCAACATACATAGTGGAAACACAAGATTCTCCGATACAACACAACATACAATAAACAAATCACACTTAACTTAGAAGTTCTGGAAGACGTGGAAGCTTTCACACATGGGAACAACATCAGTGATAAGCAAGGTGGGTTTCGTAGCACCTCATATACTTAGGCTTTATTGATTAGTTAATTAAATAACTCAGTAACAGCATCGACTAATTTATATTTGAGTGTGTGTGTGTTTATGCTTGCCAGTTTATGACATGACTAGCATGTTATTATCTGACTACGAATACTTAGTTGGATCATTCGCCTTACCCACCCCGCTTCACTTTGCCAGCACTCTTTCTATCCTCATGTCTGTCTGCTCAACTGAATGCATGAAATATATTCATTCACAAAATCATACTCGGCTTCCCATTACCGCCGTGTCACAAAGAGGGTTTGCT